AGATAGATAGATTTGTGGTAGCTTCTAGTAGTTTACTTAATTTTGAGATAATAGGTTTACCTAAAGGAATCCTCTGGGTGAAGAGACAAAATATGATTCTTTTTTTTTTTTTTAATGCATTTCTTACTACTCAGAGATTATCATTGTGGAGATTCTTGTTTAAATAACTCATGAATTCATTGATAAAAATAAACTTATACTTTTTTTTTTTTTAATTTTTTTTTTCAACGTTTATTTATTTTTGGGACAGAGAGAGACAGAGCATGAACGGGGGAGGGGCAGAGAGAGAGGGAGACACAGAATCGGAAACAGGCTCCAGGCTCTGAGCCATCAGCCCAGAGCCCGACGCGGGGCTCGAACTCGCGGACCGCGAGATCGTGACCTGGCTGAAGTCGGACGCTTAACCGACTGCGCCACCCAGGCGCCCCTAAACTTATACTTTTAATTTACTACTTAAGTTACTAATAGTGCCTTCAATTTAGAGAAGAGTTGTCCCTTAGGTGTTTCATGTGTGACTTCAGGTAGATTACTTAATCTCTTTAAGGACCTGTTTCTCTGTCAAGTGACCTTAATAATACATTAAGGAAATTATCTACAAACTTGCTAAATAACTCCATTTTTCTTGTGCCCTTTACATATTCCTAATATAAGGATGCCTGTCTTAGTGTGACAACCATTCCATAAAAGTGGTTCTCCTCTTTCCTACTTTTGGTTTTCAGAAGAGCCAGATTCATGGGCATGCAACCTCTGATGTTACACAGGGCCCTGTGTTTGATTTGATGTTCTGCTGTTACCAACTAAAATTCTTAATAATTTTTCAACAAGCAGCCCTACATTTTCCTCTTGCACAGGGACCAGAAATGATATAGCCATTACTGGTCCTCAGAAATCAGTTGTCATACATAGTTGTCATAATATACATTGAATAGTAATTTTCTATGTAAACCATTTAAATTTCCTTAACTACAAAGGAAATCTTTGTACACAAATTCTATATGAATGTATTTTAAGTGGGGAAAAATACAGCTGGGGGTTACCTATACAGTAAATCCTTTAAATGTTAGTTCTCATAATGAGGGTTTTTTAAATTTGCTATTTTAACAGTTCTGTTGTTTTATTTTTATTTATCTTTTTGTCATCTTAAAACACAAAAGTATTTGCTTAAAACACAAAAACATTATGTTAGATGAAAAAAAATTAAATTCAAAGCAAGGTTTAACTCTTTATGCCATTACAGGTTATCAAGTTATACCTAACCACCAGCAAAACTACCAAGGACTAGTTGGAGTTCAGCAACCCCAGAGTCAGAGTCTAGTTGGTGGCCAGCCCAACAGCATTGGAAATCAGATCCAAGGAGTAGTCATCCCATATCCTTCAGTGCCATCATACCAGGTATGTTGTCACTATTAGCATCTTTGGGTAGAGGTAAATACATAAAATATATAGCTACAGTGCATCTTCTTTCTTTTCTTATTATAGGGGAAATGATTCTGTGATACATAATTTATAGTCATAAGAGTTGTATTAGTTATAGCAATTTTGTTTTACCTCATTGTATTGCTTTATTCATTCAATTCTTTAATTTTTATAAATAATTAAATGTGTACTACCACGTGAACCACATTGGTATTGGCAAGAAAATTTTCTTTGGCATTGTCTATGTTTCCAATGACAGAAACATATAACAACCTAGTATCTGATTCTTTTCTTCAGCTCCTTAGAAAGTCTTGTTGAGAGGGGGATGACAGGGAAAATAGAGGGAGAGGTAGGTATTTAAAAGAGTGAGGCAGAATACAAACTATAAATCAGTGTTGATAGAATAGAAAAGAATGTCAGGTTTTCCATGGAACTGATCTTTTTCCCTACCACCAGTCCTAGAAAGGAATGGCATATCATGTATTAAAAATGTTGTGGACTTTTGGTCACTACATAAAATGAGTTATGAAGTGTATCTTGTCTTTATATTCCCCAGAACAATTTACACAAGCACAGAATAACTGTTGTACAGAATACTGAATATAGTTTAACAGAGAACTACTACACTTTAAAATTTTTTTTATTATTGGTTCTATTTATTTAAAAGTCATAAAACTGGGGCACCTGGTGGCTCAGTTGGTTCACTGTCTGACTTTGGCTCAGGTCACGATCTCCCAGATCATGAGTCCAAGCCCCGCATTAGGCACTCTACTGACATTGCAGAGCCCGCTTCAGACCCTCTGTCTCCTCTCTGCCCCTTCTGCACCCACCCCGGAAAGTAAACTTTAAAAAAGTAAATAAGTAAAAGTCATAAAACTATTTGAGTTTTCTATGTAAAAAGTGCATTGGGGGGCACCTTGTGACTCATTCGGTTGAGCGTCCAACTTCGGCTCAGGTCATGGTCTCATGGTTCGTGAGTTCAAGCCCTGCATCAAGCTCTGTGCTAACAGCTCAGAGTCTTGAGGCTCCTTCAGATTCCGTGTCTCACTCTCTCTCAAAAAAATAAACATTTTTTTAAAAAAGTATTGTGGATTTTAATTTATAGTTGTAAAGTAGAAATACCTATTGTTTCATGTGTAGGTCAGGTATATTTAGTGTAATATGACACATTCTCAGAAATTTGTTTTACCTTTCCTTCATCCTTCTGGAATAACTTGCAAGTGAGTTTGTTTTATTAGCCTAATGGCTTTCCATACCTGAGTCTATTGTTAAGAAATCCAAAGACCATTTTCATTCATCTCAATGAGGTAAAGATAAGACTAGTTAGTAAGATACATGTACATGTAAACAAGTTGGTGATGTATACAGTCCCATAACAGGATTATGAAATAAAACCATGAACCAATTAGGAACTTAAATACAGAAGTTCTCTGGAAAGATAAAAACCTTTAACTAGCTCTTAAAAGAAAATTATGGGCATAAGTTGGTTATGAAGAAATCCTGGGGATGGGGAAGGATATGAGCAAAGGTGCTAGCATATTCCATATAATTCCAGAAATTTTAAATTGAAATTAAATGTAAACTACAGAATTGTCAAGGAAGGGCTAGTGAGCACTAATAGTATGTCTAGTTTTCTAGCTTCCTGATAATAGAAAGCAACTAAGGAAGAAAGAAAACTAGGTTTTACATTTTTGTTTTCTTTCCAATCTCTCATGCTTTTTACTCCTTATCCTCTGTACTTGAGCCCAGGCACATGAGACTGCCCATCCCCTACTTCTCCATAGACATTAGACAGGATCAGTACCAGAGCAGGAACTCTCCCTTGTCAAGGACTTTGATCATGCTTCCTAACCCAGTACCCAGGCACTGTGAAAATAAGATCTGCCCTTCACCTTTAGGGGGTTCACAGTCTGGTGTGACTAATACAATTTTTAAATAAATTACAGACTTGTTAGTATAGTTCTTTAAAAAGAGCTAGATATTGAAAATGTTTCAGTGCTAAGACAGTAATTACAATTTCTATAGCATACTTGTTTTTACAAGTTATAAATCATTTCTCAAGGTATTTTATATAATCTTCAAACTGGGTAAAAGACTATGAGAAGGATGGCTCTATAGAGCATTAAGAACTTGCCTTATAATTCCTACTACCTCTCGTAGACAGGCTAGGTGGTGATAAAATGCCATCTAAAAAATAAGCCAGAAAAATCATCTGTCCTTAGTAGATTATATTTGGTGGCCATAGGTCTCAGGTACTGTTCCCTCTCTCTTTTTTGGTACTTCAATTTTTTCTTTACCACTAGTTGTAGATTATTCTATAGCTTAAATCATCTAGATTGAGCTATGTCATTTTCCCTGGATCTGTCTTCCATATGTATTAACTTAGATACTATCATAAATAATAATTTTAGAATGTTGCGCTCCCTCAGTAGACAAAAAGAGTTATTCAGAATTGGATAAATCAAACCAGTAACTTTCTCTTTGCAATAATTGAGCCAAATTGAAAGTAATAAAGGATTACTGTGTTTTTTAAAAAGACTGGTTTGCATTTCAGTAACATGTTGTATAGGCAAGACTTAGAAGTTGGGGCGCCTGGGTGGCGCAGTCGGTTAAGCGTCCGACTTCAGCCAGGTCACGATCTCGCGGTCCGTGAGTTCGAGCCCCGCGTCAGGCTCTGGGCTGATGGCTCTGTGTCTCCCTCTCTCTCTGCCCCTTACCCGTTCATGCTCTGTCTCTCTCTGTCCCAAAAATAAATAAACGTTGAAAAAAAAAAAAAAAAGAAGTTAATCAATTTCCAGTGGTGCTTGGGTGGCTCAGTCGGCTAAGCGTCTGACTCTTGATTTCAGCTCAGGTCATGATCTCAGGGTTCGTGAGTTCAAGTCCTGAATCAGACTTTGGGATGCTGACAATGGATCCTCTCTGGTGCCCTCTTTCTCTGCCCCTCCCCCACTTGCACACTCTCTCTTTCTCCGTGAAAATAAATTAACTAACTTAAAAAAAAGTTAATCAACTTCTAAATCACAGAGGCCAGATAGAATAGTGAGATGATTAAGGAGCTGACACTCTGGAGCCAGTGGGCATAGGTTCAAATCTTTTTTTTTTTTTTTTTTGTAATTTTTTTTTTTTAATGTTTATCTTTATTTTTGAGACAGAGAGAGACAGAGCATGCGTGGGGGAGAGGCAGAGAGAGGGAGACACAGAATCGGAAGCAGGCTCCAGGCTCCAAGCTGTCAGCACAGAGCCAGACGCGGGGCTCAAACTCATCCAACTGTGAGATCATGACTCAAGCCCAAGTTGGATGCTCAACCGACTGAGCCACCCAGGCGCCCCCATAGGTTCAAATCTTAACTTGCCTTCTTGCTAGCTATACAACCTTGGGCAAGTTACTTAACCTCAGTTTTCCCATCTATAAAACAGGGATAATAAAAGTACCTTTTTCAGGTTATTAGGAAGACTTAATATTATAACACACATAAAGTTCTTAGAATGGAACCTGATGTGTGATGGTAACTAGTCAGTAATATTAACTTCCATTGTCATCACTATCCTACTATTACTACTATTGATACTACCATTGCTAACATCATCATCATCATCATAACCTTCAGAAGCTTTTACATTGGCCCTATTTACCAAAATCACTATAATCCACTCGTAATGTTGTGGCACATTTATGAATTAAAAATCCATTAGAACAACAACATCAGAAGAGCCAATTGTGTCTGTGGTTTCTATTTTAGAAAGTAGAGAAACCAGTGTACTGAAAAACCCATTCTGTTCATGTGGTTTCTATGTAGATAATATAGAAAACAGAACTGAAAGATCTGCTATTCACCAGGTGCCTACTGTGCTAGATCCTGTAAATAGAGACTACAGTGGAGATAATGCCTCCCATGAGATGAGGTAGTATCCCATTTTTTCAGATACAAAGCTGATGATCCTCAGAATAGTTAAGTCATTTGCCCAAAGTCTCATAGATAGCCAAGGAATGGAGTCTATACCATGTCTGTTTATCTTAAGCTCCAAAACTCACACTCTTTATGATGCAGTGTTTCTCCGTGGTGCCCTGCCTGAGTTTTACTTACCTCTGCCTGAGACAAACTGTATTGTATTACTTTTTCCACATCAAATCATCATCCATATTTGGAAATGTCATCAGTGTTTGGAAACCGTTTCTTTTTTTTTTTTTTTTAGTTTATTTATTTTGAGAGAGAGAGAGAGTGCATGTGAGTGGGAAAGAAGCAGAGAAAAAGGGAGAGAGAATCCCAAGCAGGCTCCGCACTGTCAGCACAGAGCCAGACCCGAGGCTTGTACCCACAAACTGAGATAATGACCTGAGCTGAAATCAAGAGTCAGACACTTACCTGACTGCAACACTCAGGTGCCTCTGGAAACCATTTCTTTTTTAAAACAAGTTTTACTTAAGGACATAAGTCACATTTTATGTTTATAACCTAATACATCTAGCCTACTATACAACTGATAAAGGCTAGCCAAAAATAATAGCTGGCTGAAAAGAACAGAAATAAAGTTGTGGTACTGTAGCTAATTTATCATGACAGCCGATTGGCGGTTTTAGCTTATTCCTAAATGTTGATACTGGAAAAGTTTATGGAGGCTGGAGACATTAACATTTGCCAAATTTTGAAGAACCTTTTTCCCTTTAAATTGTCTTTCAAATTTTAGGTTTCACTGCCTCAAAGTTCTCAAGGAATTGCCCATCAGACTTATCAGCAGCCTGTTATGTTCCCTAATCAGTCTAATCAAGGATCTATGCCCACAACAGGAATGCCGGTTTACTATAGTGTCATTCCTCCTGGTCAGCAAAGTAATTTAAGGTGAGTATGACCAAGAAACCTAATCCTATAGCTTCTCATTGTTTATCATGATTATGGTCTGTTGCTAATTTTAAAATTGAGTAAAGAGCATGACCTGAAGTGATTGTCTAATATAGAATAGAAAAACTATGATACAGTCTACTTTTCTAATAGTTCTTTTAACAGAATCAGTATATGCAAAACATTTCATATGTAAACTGAACAAGAGTCAAATCATCTCTCATGTGCCTAAAAGTAGGCAATTCTCCTCTTAACCAGTAGTTGGCCATAGACCTTGGAGTTTGGAGCATTTAATATTTAAGGTTTTTGTAAGGAGTCAGGGGAGAATATTTCTTGTGTATAACCTTAGCAGCAAAATTTCTTAACTGAAATTTTTCAGGCTACAGGGAACTCATTTTTCATCAGTAAGAGGAGACAGGCATATAGAAGAAGCAAATGATAATAGCTCTGTGTAAAAGCAAGTTATGAAACTACTTCTTTAGCTGCTTCAACTTGGAAGAACAGAAGCTTCTCTGATAAGCCTAATGTGATATAAATAGTAATCTTCCTTTGAATTGGGTAACTTTAGTCCATTATTCAGAAAGTATTACAGTCTTTGATTTATTCTCATGACATCCCTGTAAGGTTGCCAGAGGGACTGCATTGCTCTTTTAAAGAAGGAAGACCTAAGTTTTCATTGCTGGTAAGAGGTTGGCACCGGTTATGGTTACCGGTGATGATATTTAGGGGTGAGAAAAGGATTGACAGACTTGTTTCATTGAATCTGCTTGGGAGAATGGAGACTTGGCTCTCGTATTTGTTACCAGACACAACACACACACATAGGAACTCACATATTTCCTCAGTCATGGCTCTCATTTCATCTGTTGTGTGTGTGTGTGTGTGTCTCTCTCTCTCTCTCTCTCTCTCTCTCTCTCTCTCTCTCTCTCTCTCTCACACACACACACACACACACACACACACACAGAGGATTCGCTTATTTCCTTGCCCTTTCCAGCTCTGTGACTGTCACAGATTGAAGAGGCCCAGGATTTTTAATCAGCAAGTTGGTTGTGTCTTTGAGGTAGAGCAGCTACACAGTGAAAATAGAAATGTGTACTGTGTTTGGGGTGCCTGGGTGGCTCAGTTGAGCATCCAGTTTTGGCTCAGGTCATGATCTTACTGTCCCTGCATGTTCAAGCCCCACACCGGGCTCTGTGCTGACAGCTCGAAGCTTGGAGCCTGTTTCCGATTCTGTGTCTCCCTCTCTCTCTGCCCCTCCCCCACTCATGCTCTGTCTCTCTCTCTCTCTCTCTCTCTGTCAAAAATAAAATAAACGTTAAAAAATTAAAAAAAGAAATGTATACTGTGTTAAATTTCCCATTTGTTGTGTAAGTTTAAATTCTGTAAATAAGGAGAAATGCTCCCAATCTGAATTTCTTTTTCTGATTTATGTAAATTTGGGGTCTGTAATGCCAGTTCAGGATTTCAGTTGTCAGAAGCAGAATTTTGTGCTAACACAAGTGAAATGGATGGTGTGAGAATGGCTGTGAATTATCTGCTTTTTGAACCAAAGTGTAACGTTTTGTTGACCTGAGAGGAAATTACCAAAGAAATCATTCCAGTGTAGAGCAGAAGCTGAGAGAAGGGGATATTACTTAATACAGTGACTTATTTGAGATCAAAGGACCCCTGCTTTTGTAAGTTTTATAGGCTTGCACGCTGGGTAGAGGGGCTTTCTTGAAAGAAGACCAAGTCTAAAAGGACCTATAAAGATGGCTTAGACTTTATAAAAACTTTCCCATGTTTGTTATATTTATCATTCCTTTGAAACAAAAGCAATCTTGTCTCGACTTCCAAGGGAGCTGGCCCTGGGAGTGTCTACAGATGGGAAAGAGCACAGGTCTGTACTACCCACCCCTAAATTCAACCTTATTTTAAGAATGATGGCAGGATGGGGCGCCTGGGTGGCTCAATCGGTTGAGCGTCTGACTTCGGTTCAGGTCATGATCTTGCGTTTTGTGAGTTTGAGTCCCGCATCAGGCTCTGTGCTGACAACTCAGAGTCTGGAACCTGCTTCGGATTCTGTGTCTCCCTCTCTCTCTGCCCCTCCCCCACTCATGCTCTCGCGCGTGCTCTCTCTCTCTGTCAAAAATAAAAATAAACTTTAAAAAAAAATGGTGGCAGGATCTAAAAACCGTCAAGTAGAATGCTAATAACTACACTTTGGAAAGAACCATACGAACTTTTAGTTCCTGGTCCTGCTTCCACAAGAAAATAAAAATATGGGGAGCTGGCCTTGGCCTGAGGAATAGCTTGGAAGCCCAGCAATTAAAAAAGAAGTGAGATTCCCCTCCAACTTTAATCTTGAGAAAAACTTTTGGGAATTACTCAGTTTAGTGCGTAGACCTAGAAGAGAAGAGTAAGATAAGTTTGAAATAAGCTAGCTGTAAAGTGACAGTAGTGATTGGTTACTATGTAACAAACTACATTGATCTCTTCCAACTACAGATTACCAATGTGAGAAATGGAATGGATGGCACATAAAGCAAGAATGTGTATCCTGTCACACTTTTATCCTGATACCTTTTATGCTAGTTATTAGGTAGGAGTATAAGTTGTACACAGAATTGATTAAGGATACCTTTGAGTGGAAAACATCTGTAACTAATGTTATTTTTTTTAATTTTTAAATTAAAAAAAAATGTTAACTATAACAGCATTTTAAAAAATGTAACAGCATTCTTTACTGAAATTTTATTGGTGATTCTGGGCAATATTTAATAAGCAAATTGCTATAATATTTCAGATTTCCAATGTAAAGATCAACTGTTGGCATTTATTAATTAGATCATTGTATTACAATCCAAGGGCTAATATTATAGAGACCATTCCTTCATAAATCTAGATTTGTTCTATAAATTATATTTTATTTACATATTCCAGTGTGTTTACATGCAGAGCAGAGGTTTGTCTGAATATTTCAGCACCTAGAGCAGGGCCTAGCCCAGGGTAGAAGCTCGGTAAATGCATAGTGAATTGAATACACTTCTTTAATGACAGAGGCCAACTTACACATATGTATTGGTACATATATATTATTCTCAATTATGTACAGTTATTGGCCTTAATGTTATTATTTTGTGTCTGCAACCTCTATATGCTCTTAAATTTTTCGTTAATATTTTTACTACAAAATAAATTATGCTTGCTGACACAAATTAAACGATCAGTACAAAGGTGTGTAAAATGAAGGCTAATCATTAGGCCCCACTCTGCCCTCACCTCCAGGTGACCAGTGTTCACGTTCTAGAGTGTGCGTTCTGTCACATTAGCCTCCTGCCCAAATAAATACATACATGTCTAAAATACACAGGTATTGAAATTAGGTTAGGTGGTAGGTTCTAATGAAATAGTATCTTGTGAATACAAGATTGTATTAACAATGTATTGTGAAGATCAGATTAGTAAGATTCAGTGTAAGACATTCTTGTTTAACAGTGTAAGACATTCTTGTATTAACAATGTATTGTGAAGATCAGATTAGTAAGATTCAGTGTAAGACATTCTTGTTTTGTGTGTTTGTTTTTTCCTCATTTCATCACAAACATAATTTTATGTAAATGAAATCATATGCAGGCAGTATTTTGTTGTTCTGATTGCCTTCTCTCCCCTGACCCTGTCAACGAGATCATTTTCCATATACACACATGTTGGATAACCCATGTTTCTCTCCTGGTTTGTATCCTTCCTCACTTCCTCCTTGTACCTAATCATATGGTAACACAGATAATGGGTATGGAGACACAAGTAAGATAGATTAACACAGACATAAAATGGAATTTATAAATAGTTTAAAATATAAAATGTCTACAATTTGCATTTTTTTAAATATACAACCATATCATGTTTGAAATATGAGAGAATTAAATCTTTCAAATTTAGTAATATGACTGATAACAGATTTCTTTTTTCAGCTAGCTTCATTTCTTTATTTTAAGATACTGCTTATAACTTCTGCCATTTTCTCAGGAGTCCAAATGTATGCCCTGTTCCTTAAGGCTCTTCATCATGGAATCTACCTGATTTGATATCAGGTTATGAAGAGGTCTAACTTAGGTAGTTTTTATAGATAACTGAATCTTGTGCCATGAGGCGTTAATTGATTGGGGGGGGGGGCATTATATGGTTAGAAAAAGATGAGCTAAGGGGGGCCTGGGTGGCTCAGTCGGTTAAGCGTCTGACTCTTGATTTCAGTTCAGGTCACGATCTTACGGTTTGTGAGATCAAGCCCTACATCTGTGCTAACTGCAGCAAACCTGCTTAGAATTCTCTCTCCCTTTCCCTCTGCCCCTCCCCTGCTCTCTCTTTCTCTTTCTCTCTCAAAATAAAGAAACATTTAGAAAAAAATTTAGAAAGAAGTTGAGCTTTGGAGTCAAAACCTGTCTTTAAGCATGTGTGACTTTAGGCAAGTGTTTTAGTCTTTTTGCACTTTGGTTTTCTCATGTGTAAAATAAGAATAATATCTCACAGGATCGGTGTGCGGAATTCCATGTGTAGGACTTTGTGTATGAAAATTATTCTAAAATATAATATATACTGCCTATGTTCTTAGGTAGAAGACACTGAAAATTGTTAATAAAACTTTTTATTGCTTATTCAGAGCCATAATCCTGAGCATCAGTAATTATGCTCAGTAATTGTGCCCCCACAGAAGTTTGAAGTATGTTGGAGATATTTTCACTTACTTTCTAATATCAGGCTCTTTCTTTGTCACTTATAGTCAGTGTAGGTGCTTTAAATCTGCAGTGGAGTTACTAGAACTAGGTTTTTAAAAAGAAAGGCTGTGAGTCAGATCCTGGAGGGCTCTGCTTTGAAAAAAGGTTTTGATATCTTTGAGGAGTTTGTGACTTCTGTTTTAATAGTTCACATGCCTTTACCTCATACCTGGATCTGAGCTGTGTTCCAGATTATTGTGCTTGCTGGTCAGACACTTACCCGAAAAGTAGTAGAACGATGAA